TGATGTCTTTTAACCAACCTTATCATTTTTGACGTTATATATATACCGCATATTCCATATCATCTATTCGTTATCTCTTTTATTATTTTAACCCCCTTTTATTATTATTTTTATTATCTACACATACAATGCGAATACTTTTAAAAATGAACCATTTTTATCTGATTTTATCTTCGCGATTCACATGTTTGTTAAAATAAGATAAATAAATAAATCACCATGGCCCTAAATGACCACAGCCGTCGATGGGTCGTTAAACATAAACAAACAAACAAATAACCGGCACTTTCTGTAAACATAGATCTTTCGGATGTTTTGACCACGATCTGTCAGATTATTGTCATTAGCGTTACAAAGCATGACTGAAGTGATACTTTTTTGTGCAATTGTCATTGCCCGGCATTTATTAAAAAAATGGATTTTTATGTCCGGTGATTTGTACTACCTGTGTGTCAGGGATGTCATTTTCCTTGAGTTTCGGACAGAGACGTTTTCTTACGGAAGTATTAGTAAGCCTTTTCTCACAAGTTCGAATTTGCTGTCATTTTTCTCGTCATACTTTTTAGCTTGATCTGGCCCACAGGGCATCTTGCAAACCACTGATCGTATATTTTTTAATATTGTACTCGCGGCCAGATAGAACGGGTGATAATTTTCAGATAAATTCACTGGTATCCTCTTCTTGTATGTTTTGTATATATATCGCAACCGGACACCTCTCGGGATCTTCAAAATGTTCGTATGACCTTTTTTCTTCTTTCTAAATAGCGAAATGTCTGCCCCTGTCATAGTTTTAGTTTGTTGCTCATTATTCTCAAATACTTCTCTATTTACTTCTTGGTCGAATCCATGATGAACGTCACCCAAACACAGAGCCCTGTGCTCGACTTCCCCACGCCTCATTCCGAACAACAAAGTGTTGTTGAACTACATCGTGTTTAGAATCGAATTTGGTGAATTGGAACCAAGTTCCCCGGCATCGTAAAGTACATTGATATCCGCGTCGGAAATCGCATCTGCTGATTTCGGTTGATTTCAAAAACCTTGTTTTTATGATGTTTTTGTTTGCTTTTTTAAGTGCTTCTTGTTTTTGTGAAACATACAGATGTTATTAAACACACTCTACTGTACAGTCATACCAACCCTCGATGACGTCAAAACCAACCCGTCAGCTAAATAACGTACATGAACGTAAGCCGAAAAACTGGATTACGTCGTCAAAACCTACCCGTCAGTCTAAATACACGCACTACAGTCATGCAACAACTCAATGACGTCGTCAAAAATAACCCGTTTGCCAAACTACACATTCTACTGTACAGTCTGTAGTAGACTTTTTCATCAGTCACGTCTATCAGTACATTTCCTCTGGGCTACAATGTCTACCGGAAAGATAGGAACGGCCATGGACTGGAGGAGGAGTTTTCCTGCTCGTCTCCAATGAGATGCAAAGTAATCAGCCAGAAGAACTCCAAGGTGATAAAGAAGTTGAGCTTGTCTGGGCTTAGGTACGTGTAACTGATGCACAAGATCTTTACATTGCTTCATTTTACCGACCACCTGACAATAGGGACTCATTGTACCTGGAGACGCTTCGAAAATATATCGGCAGAGCTCCATTCAGTGCCCATAAATAGATTGGAGGGGAATTCAATCTTGCAGATATTGATATTGACTGAAGTTCAGGAAGTGTCACTCAAGGTGCAGTTCACTCCAGCTTATGCAGACAACTTCTGACTCTCACGTGGGACTCATCAATAGACAAGCCAACCAGGATCACTGAAAATGTGCAGACAATACTGGATCTATTCTTTACCAGCAACCCAACACTGATAAATAGAGTAGAAATAACTCCAGGAATTTCTGTCTGACCAAGAGGCAGTGTTTGTTGAATCCAGCCTAACACCAATGAAATTGAAATTACCACCTAGGAAAGTCTATCTGTACAACACGCCAAGCCCTTGGTTTACATACTCCCAAGAAGGCGGTGGCTCAGGGTCAANAATGATTCAAAGACAGAAGTGTTGACATGTCCATAGATGTCCAATGGAACTATTTCAGATCAACATTGGCTTCACTGATGAACAAGCACATCCCCAGTAAGATGCTCAGTGGATCAAAGACCAACAAGCAATGGATTGATGGGAAGATCAGACTAGAAATCAGACGGACAAACAGACTAAGGAAAAAACAACAAAAACACGAAAACAAGAGGATATAAGACGACACAAGGCCACAAGATCAAACACACAGAAGATAATCCGACAATCCTACTGGAGAAATATTGAAAATATGATTGTGATAAGTAAAGAAGATGACAAGCAGCCCAAACAAAATTCTTTCTGGCGGTATATAAAGGTAGCAGTATACAGTAGAAATGGCCCGACTCTGATAAACAAGGCCAAATACATATAAAGTACTGAGAAGTGTATAAACCTCTTTTTTCTATGTATGTCACTTGTGTGAAAACCATGGTTACCACATCAAAAATTACCAAAAAATGCCAAAAATTGCAATTTTAACCCAAAATTTGACCCCCGCAACTAGTATTTTTTTTCCTAAGCTATGTCTGAAATTAAAGATTACCTACCTGGTTGCAGAAATATCTGGGTCCCAGTAAAATTGTAAAACTTGATTTTTTGCAATTTTGCGTCGTGTGCTGTTGTCAAAATTTTACCTCCTGTAAAGCTGGTCCTTCATGTGTACGCACCCTTTCGGATTATGGCCAAAATTTTATTCTAGAACCAAAAAAATCTTTTTTTACAAATGTGAAGCTCACATAGCCCACTTCATCATGCTAATACCAATTTTAGTACAGTTTTATTTTTATATTTTTTTTACATATCATTATACAGGGGTTAGCCATTTAACAAAAATATCACCCATGGCCACAACCCTCTACTGTATACTGCTACCAAAGGCGCCAAGGAAAGTTAATTCAGGCGTAGCCCCCCTGAAGGAAGACGGAAAACTACATCCCACCGCAGCAGACAAGGCGAACATCCTCAATAGGCAGTACAAGTCGGTGTTCACACAGGAGGACCTTTCATTTGTCCCATGCCTTCCAGGTACGCCATATCCTTCTATGCAGGAAATCAACATAGAAGAAAAAGGGGTAACGAAGCTGCAAAGGAACAGCAATGCCAGTAAGGCGAGTGGTCCCGATAACATCCCGGCAAGAATACTCAAAACAGAGTGGAAAAAGGCAAATGTTACAGCAGTCTTCAAGAAGGGAGAGCGATATAAAGCGAGCAACTATCGGCCAGTTTCCCTGAAATGTGTATGCTGCAATATACAGGAGCATATTATTGTGTCTAACTTCATGAAACACCTCGACGAACACAGTATCCAGAATGATTTTCAGCAAGGATTTAGGACTAGGAGAAGCTGTGAGACCCAGTTACTGACACTCTGCCATGACCTTTCGAGCAACATCGATTCCGGCCTGCAAACAGAACTTGTTATTCTGGACTTCCCCAAAGTGTTGGATCGTGTGCCACACCAACGTTTGTTGAGGAATCTTGACTTCTATGGCATACGGGGACCAACTCATTCCTGGATAAGGAGCTTTTTGGAAGGACGGACTCAAAGGTTTATGGAATAGAACACAATC